GGCACTCGAGGCTGCGGGTCCGTCAGCTCTGCCGCGGCTCCGGCTGTGGAGCGTCTGTGCATAGAAAGGTGCCCCCCGGCTGGCTCCTTTCATAGCACGAGGGGAGTAACAGTGACTGTATAGTTAATTCCCAGGGTGCTCACCGGCACTCGGCCATAAATTATTCACATCTGTACTTTGTTTAGTGGTTTACTGTCTCATAAAGTTTAATTGGTGAATTTATAGTCTCGTAAGAGTATAATGTAAAGGCACGTAAAGAGTAGAGGAGGCACGAACAGAGAGTATGTGTGAGGGCAGGTATTCCTCAAGTGCTTTGCTTTTCACTCTCCTCAGAGTTTGGCACGTTTGTGAGAAGCTTTTTGGCTCTGATGTGGGTGTCGTTCTTCCTAGCGACCATCCTGTCATGCCTGGAGTTAATAACACCCGTGTTGTAGTTTATTTCATTTTGCTCTGCTGCTGTGGATAGTATTTCAGGACTTCTCATTCTGCGTGCTCATCAGCTGAGACTGATGTGCATGGCTGACTTGAGCAAACCAACACACCTCAAAGTATCTTCATGGCATTAGGCTGATGAGCTAAGCAAAAGACTTCCTATTTTGATAACACTAGCCTGATTAATCTCGTCACGGCTCTCTCCATGTTCTGAGCCAAGCCTGTAGATGGTAGTGGATGTTTCTGTCGTTTAATGGGCTTTGGATCAAGACCAAAATAATGAGCAGATTTAAGGCAATTAATTGATAATCTTCTACTATTGAACCTCTGTAGAATTAGGCTGTCGTGCTGTTGCAAAGCTACAACTGACAAAATTTGATGGAACAAATTCTTGTCTGATTTGGTGATGGTGACAGCTGTTCTGCTGGAGGTCCTATTCCTGTCATCCCAACCCAGAAATGGTTTGTGTGTGAGCGACCTGAGTTTGGCTTAAGCTCTTCCTCGATATACTGTATTTTCAAAAATTTCTGATAAGCAGGATTTTTAATATGAATACATGATAAAATATGAGTATAAATGATAGAATTTGTTATCTCAATGCTTTCACTCTGAATTCCTAAACGAGCAAAACCACTACTGAAGTAGGTAAGGTAGTAGTGTAGTTCAGGGTGAGGGGCATCCCATTGAGAGCAATGAAGGTCTATAAGGAGAGATAAATATGGTACAGGAGAGTGGGAACAGCTGGAAAGCTGAACTAGCAGGCTCAGGGAAAAAAACTGAGGCCAAAAGCTGAGGATGTGAGAGCGTCTGCAGCAGCTTTTGTTGTTGTCGGAGCTGCCGCTGGGTTCGGATATTGGGATGAGGGCACCAAATTCGAGCGTTGTGCTCGTGTTCATGCAGGCTGGTGAACTTTGGAGGGCTGCCCCTGTGTGATGGGGTAAGTGCCTGAAGGAAAGCAGAGTTAGAGCAGAGGGGCGATGAACGTGTGCAATTAATGGCTTGTTTTTCCTCTTGAGCTCGTGAATAGGTGTGTATTTCATGAAATGGCTGTAACGTGCTTAGTGCATATACTGCCTCTGTTTTGAACGTGGTTTCCTAATGAAATGAAGCCATGTTCTCTGTCATTCTGCCTCCTATTGACTTTTGAAGTTGGTGGCAAATTTGAGCTGCGTTTAACACCGCAGAAGCCTCAGTTTAATCGCTGGGAGCTTCATGAATGTAGCAAGCTGGATACCAGAAAGGTGATATTGCTCCTCAGTGAGAGTCGTGCTAATGCCCTCCCAAGCATTGAGTCAGGATGCAGGAGAGTTGAGGCAGACTTTAAAGAAGGGAAAGTGAATACTGCTGAGACTTGCTGGTTGAGGCTAAGGCAGATGTTTGCTCAATAGACACTTAGCTGTTCTTGATATCCATCATATTAATGATCATTAATTAGTCATTAATGGGATGCAACAGCCTGGCTTCTCATCCCAGCAAAGCAGCCTCCGACTGCCCTCTGCCCCTTGGGCTGTCCCTGCATTGCCTAAGTCTCCTGTGTGGGCAGGACTGTGGAAAATCAAGGAATTTCTGGGAGAAGATTAGCTAAATTCATCTCTCACTGAACTCTGAACTGCATTTAGTTTTCAGGATAATTAAAAAATTAAAACATTATTCTGAAAGCTAAGTGCAGTTCAGTGAGGGATTGGCAGAAGGGGCACTGGGGAGAATGTGTATCCAGCCTCGAAGACAGAATAGTCGGACAGCCGGATTTATCGCATTTTGTTGAGCCTTGTCCCTTGCAAGAGGAAAGTTGAAGCAAAACAGCTGTTCTTTGCAAAGCAGCTGGGCAGGCTCTGTCCCCTAAAGGTGCTGGAGAGGAGCCAGCTGATGTTTTGGCTGCTGTCTGCAGCAATAATATTAATAAGAATAATCCTACAGTCCCCAAATCCCTGGGGGAGCAGCGAGCACCGGTGCAGGGTTGGAGGCTGCTCTGGTCAGAGGGAGGAAGCGCGAGAGGTCCCGGGCCGCAGTGTCCCTGGCTTTTCCTGGCATGGATGTGCCCTAATGGAGCCAAGTCCTCCTTAGCTCGAGGGACAGACACTGGAGCATCCAGGCTTCTCCAGAGCAAAGCTGTGGGAGCAGAGCCAAAGCCTTTTGCTGGGTGGGAGCCTCTGAGGAGAATGTTGGACATTTCTATCTCCTCTTGACGTTGCCATGGGCTTTTAGCCCTTGCCAGTAAGTGGCCAAGTTGGGGGTTAAAAGGCTGTAACTGCTGCTCTAATGCTTAGGATAGACCTGGTCATCAGCAGCCCTGGCTGCTCATGGCTCTGCCGAACACAGATGGGGTTACAGGGCTCTCCGGAGGCGCTTGCTCCCTGTTGGTTTATGCTGCTCCTTGGAGGGGAGCGCCGGGAGGCTGCCGCGCTCTGGGAAGCGCCGCAGCGGGTGCAGGGGCCTGGGGAGCATCCCCAGGCAAGGGGCAGCGCCCGCGCGGCTTCACCAGCGCCAGACACTTTGTCCCTCTTTCCTACGGGAAAACCCTGGGACAACTTAGATTCTTCGCTCTAAGCTTAATTTGAGCGTATTCCACCGTATTTTTGTGACAGGCACAATAGTTGCTGTGTTAAAATACTCCCCCCGTACCATGTGTCTGCAGTAGTTAGATTGCTAACGATAAAAATAGTGTCCAAATGTGCCAGGGAGAGTGAGACGTTCTGCAGCTTGAAGGCAGCTCCCAATTGGTAGGAGATGCAGTGGGGGGGGGGGGGGGGGGGAAAGCTTTTCCAAGGAAAATTGCTGCGGAGTTTTAAAAATAGTGCCCCAATGTTAGCAGGTGGCGACGAAGAATGTTTTGGGTTCTCACAGCTTTTGTTCTGTTCAGGCACTGGAAGCCTCTGAACACTTCTCGAGGGAGATCCTCAATCTCCAGGCTGGCTGGGTGGCTGCTTGGGGCACTCGGAAAAGCCAGGCATTAATTCCTGCAGCAAACTTTGGCCAACGGTAGGGTCGAGCCTTCATTTCTGTGAGGTTTTGGGGCTGTGCTCGGGCTGCAGAATACATCTAGTTTCACAGTTTCAATTACCAAATGTGTCAGAGAGACCCGTGCCACATAAGGCAGTGCCTGGAATTACCTCAATGCAGTGGCTCATCTAAAGCACTTTGGGGGGGGTTAACTTTGTACTGGCAGGGTTTATGTGGGATCAGGTGCTGCCCGTTAAAGCTGCTCTGACTTTCTGCTGAGTCAGTTACTCTGCATCCAGCCGCACCTGGGGTAAATAGGGAGCATACGCTGAGTTAAGTGCTCTGGCTAATACAGTGGAAAAAAGACTGTGCCAAAGCCTTTTCTAGATCAAAATTTTACTACTCTGGAGCCAGAGGTATTATTATTATTATTATTATTATTATTATTATTATTTTACTTTATTTTCCCACTAACTAGTCTATTTGCTCAGGTAATGGGACCTGAGAAAGTGAGAAGTTGTTTGCAGCTGTGAGTTGTGAACCTGGAAATGGGTGTTTCCACTTCCATGCCCTGGTTTTCCGGAATGACGCTCTGCTCTTTCATTACGAAGTTTGCTGCAGGATGGAGAACCTGCCCTACACGTGGACCACGGTGCTATTCTAGCACGAGCCAATGTATTAGGAAGTCTCTGCAGCCCCAGCAGCTCTTGCTCAGGGTTTGATCAGAGGCCAACGGAGCAGCAGGCTGAGGGTGTCACTACATTTGCACGGCTCCATGAGGCTCAATGTGCCACATCTTGGGGTGCTCAGGGGCTCAGTGTGGCTCCAGAGACTCAATGTGCCACATCTTGGGGTGCTCAGGGGCTCAGTGTGGCTCCAGAGACTCAATGTGCCACATCTTGGGGTGCTCAGGGGCCGTTCAGCGGCAGGTTCGGGGCCGTTCCTGTATTTCTAAGCGCTATAGGAAGCACTGCAGCCCGAGTGCAGTGCAGCTGGTTCCGTGCTTGGGGCTTGGCTGATTTGGTGCAGAAGCAGAGGGCTGTGTTCCTCCCAGCATTAACTGCAGCTAGAAGAGGTTTGTTTGAAGAGGGTGTGAGATTCATCTTCAGCAAACAGCTAGATTTTCAGTAGGCTGCAAGTTGTAGATAATGATGCTTTCCTACTTTTGAAAGTGGCTTGCACCACTCAACTGCTGAGTGAAGGAGGCCTGAAAAGCCGAGTGCTGTTGGTTTGGGTTTCTGTTGCAGAGGTTGCATGGACTGTTTTGGTGCTCTCATCTTGGTGGCCACTAGTAGGACTAGAGGAAACGGCCACAAACGGAAGCACCAAAACTTCCACAGGAACTTAAGGAAAAATTTCTCGACAGTGAGGGTGACAGAGCCCTGGAACAGGCTGCCCGGAGAGGCTGTGGGATCTCCTTCTCTGGAGATCTTCAACACCTGCTTGGATGCAGCCCTGTGCCCCGTGCTCTGGGTGACCCTGCTGGAGCAGGGGGTTGGACTAGATGACCTCTGAGGTCCCTTCCAACCTTGGGCATTCTGTAATTCGATGATTCTATGATCTTGCCTCTTTGCCTTGTAGGGGTTGTACATGCAGTCTCAAATAGCTTTTCTTTTTCTTTTTTTCAGGACAGTTATTCTGAGTGACGGCCCTTGCAAGCGCTTCTGAGCGGTTATCATGGGCTTCATTGCCTTTCTGAAGACCCAGTTCATAGTTCATCTCCTCATCGGGTTTGTTTTCGTCGTGAGCGGGCTAATCATCAACTTCATTCAACTATGCACGCTGCTCCTGTGGCCCATAAACAAGCAGCTTTATCGCCGAGTGAACTGTCGCCTGGCCTACTCGCTGTGGAGCCGTGAGTATGGCCTGAGGGGGCGGGAGGGACTCCTTAAATGGCAAAATAAATAGGTTTTTGTATGTGCCTGTTCATATGTGTGTGTTTGGACGTGAGCCGTGAAGGTGGCAGCTGATGGTGCCCTGGGCCCCACTGGGCTGCGCGTCACCAGCGGGATCCTGCGCCCTGCTCAGCCCGGCGAGGCTGCGCCTGGGCTGCTGGGTCCTGCCCTGGGTGTGAGAGGGACGTGGAGCTGCTGGAGCGAGGCCAGGGAAGGGCTGCAGAGCTGGGGAAGGAGCTGGAGCTTCCTTCACAGGAGGGGAGGATGGGAGAGCGGGGCTGGTCAGCCCTGAGAAGGTTTGGGGTGTCTTATTGGTGATAATAAACATTTAATGTCAAGAGGACAGGGCCAGACTCCTCTCAGCGGTGTCCAGGGACAGGGCAGGAGTCAAAGGGCACAAACTCAAGCACAGGAAATGCCCCCTGAACAAGGAAAACAGGATATGGTCCTGGGCAACTTGCTCCAGCTGACCCAGCTTGGGTAGTGTTGGCCGGGGCAGATGATCTTCAGAGGTCCCTTCCAGCCCCAACTCTTTTGTGATTCTTTAAGACATATCTGAGTGTGTGTGTACATATATATGTATTTAACACACACACGCGAGTTGGAAGACTAATAAGGTTGTGGCAGACGTTTTCTTCAGAGAAGTCCAAAGCAGCCGTGATTTACTGAAATACAACAAAAACAACGTCCTGTTACTGGTGACTTTGACTTCTGACGGTGACTTTGATATTCAAGAGAAATGCAAAGTAAACTTGCCCCGTTCCCCACACACACTGTACCTCGAATGGCAGGAAATTGCTGCCTCTGTTTCAGCACCATCTTCACCCCGTATCACGTGTGTGAAGGGCCTGTGTTAGGTGCCGTGGGGAGGGAGGAGGAGCCCAGAGTCGGCTTCAGGTACTCGGCATGGGTGCTGCGCTGAGCACCCGCTCGAGAGCCCACGTTGACCGCGTGCTCTGCGGCCTGAGGTGCCTGTCTCTGGCACCCAACGCGGAGAGCTTCGTGGCCAGGTCCTAGGGCAGCTCCAAGGGCCTTTCGTAGCTGTGGGGTCTGCGGGTGCCACCAACCTCTGCTCTTGTGGGTGACTTTCTTCTGCCTGCCTCGCGCGTCTGGTGAGCAGGTCTAGGCTACTTGCCTCTTGCAGGCTAGCAAAAAACTTCTTTGCTGTGCATGCTTTAGTTTTTCCTCCTCATACAGCTCAGGAAGGCATTGGATTTCTGAAACAGGTGGTTAGAGGCTCCTTAATCCAGATGTCACCTCCTTTTTCAGTGGTGAGTCATGGAGTTTGTTTCCTCTCTCCATCCCTCCCCATGTGCACGGCCACCCGCCTCGGCGGAGCTGCTGGGCGCCCGGTGTCGATGAGCACTCGCGTTACAGCTGGGCAGTCGGCTAACAGGCACCCAAATTCCCAAAGCACAGACGTGAGGGACCACCAGCAAACATCCTTGATGAGTTCCTGGTTCAGTTCTAGTGCAGTTAAGTCCAGTTCAATTGCTCATTAAGCTTGTTGAACCTCGTCCTTCCTGGGCTTTTTATTCCACCTACTCGGACTATCAAAGAAGCACAGGAGAAAGGGAAGGAGAAAGGAAACCGAGTCGAGAACAGCTGGCAAACTGTCAGGAGAAAACATTTAGTATTGGAAGGATGTGTATATAACTGAAGTTATGGTTGAAGGGGGTGTGTTTTACTTGGAAATAATCCTTAATGTCCTTTTAATAACCTACAGCCTAATGTGTCCTGAAAACTCTTGTTGCACAAATAGCCTGGCTTTTCTGATGGTTGGTACTGCTTGTACCGATGAGGGCTACAGCTTTAGACTCTTGATTCCTCCAAGTTGATACTGGGTGTACAGAGATCCCCTTTTAAATGCTGTTGTCTGTCTGTTCTGTACACTGAAAATCCTCTACCCTGTTCTTACAAAAGGTTCAGAAAAGTTGAGCAGGTGATGGGATTTCACTGAGAGTAACCCCTTGTGTTGCAGACTACTCTGTAAATTAAATGAGTAAGAAATTAAACTATGAAAACGAATGTAAATGTTGCATTGGCCAGAGCAGTGCTGATAGCCTCTCACGGAAGCACTGAGAGAGCAGGCTCTCCAATTGTGATTTATAACAAAACAAGCAAGCCCTGTAAACGCAGTGGCTCAAGTGCTGCCCTTCCTGACACATATTCTGTTACATGGAAGCCTTTGGACAGTGACTCTGTAGTTTCCTATTCCATTCCAGAAGGTAGATTTTGGTCACTTATTTAAATATCTTTATTTTTAAGCTGATAACTTCCATGCCAGAGCTCTGTTTATCATGGTTTTCTGTATGCAAAGCTGCTCTGCCAGCCTGGCCGAGGAGCGTGTGTGCTGGAATAGACACGCAGGGGTGCCTGTGTGCCCACATACACTGTGCTCTAGAGAAAGCAAGGCCTTCTGCTTGCTGCATCTCATCTCAAATAGGTGAAGTCTTGCTTCGAAGCCGTTTAGGGAGCGAATGGCTTTATTTAAGGGTAGTATTGGGCCAATGAGCCCGTCACGGCACCTTGCAGAGCTCCCACCGGGACCTGGGGCAGGTTGGTGCTGGAGGCTTGTGCCAGACTGCGCCCTAAAAACGAGCGCTTCACGTGTTTAATTCCCAAGGGGGATCTGTATCCAGGCTCCCGCACGCTCACTCCGTTGCAGATGACTCATGCCTCTGGGTAGAGCCTGCTTGCAAGGATGGTCTCCCAGATCTTGGTGCTTTCAAATGACCGTCCGTGGCTTCCAAACGGGCTGGGAGATGAGCCGTGCCTGCTTGCTGGCTTTGGCCTCGAATGCCTTGTGAGGCTGTAGGGCCATTTCCTTTGGAATTGCTGCTGGAAGCGGCAGCAGGGGGGGTGTTTGCCGGGCCGAGGCGGCGCTCGACGCAGCGACGGCGCGTGCGGCCGCAAAGCCTCGCGCCTCCTTTGCTCAGCCCAGCCAGAGCTGTGACACCATCAGCACCAGCCAAGTAGCCCCACACGCACAAACAGGAAAAAAAAGAAAAAAAAACTAAAGGAGATGACCCCTCTCCTTGTTTTAGTTGCATCATTTATCGGTATGCTTGTAAAAGGCAGTTTGTTTCCTCATATTCTCTGGCTCATCAACCCGTCTGTTCCAGTACGAACCCTGGCAAATCTCCGGGCGAAGCCTCCCCTGCTGTTTGAGGGGGACGGGGATGAGAAGTGCTCAGGCAGCAACTCGCCTGCGCCTCCCTCGGCAGAGCTTCCCTCTGATGTTGAGGGGGAGACTCGCGTGCGGCTGCGTTTCCTTGGACAGAGCAAAATACAGGTGTGGTGGATGCGGGACATGGTGGTCCTCGGGCTGTGGAGAGCAGGGAAAGGGAAGCAGCGGAGGGTGCTGCATGGGGTGCAGCCTGTTGTGCTGAGCACCCATGGGAGCCGCGCTCTGACCAGGGATGTTCTCCCTGCCCCTGCCTCTCACTGAGTCAGGCTAACGGAGGCGGGAAAGGTGCACGGGGCTACGGTGTTCCCAGGGGACACGGAGCTAAAAAGGCATCCCAGGAACCTCAGGGGGATGTAAGGTGCTGTTCTTGAGCATCACTTGGAAGGGTTATATTCTCTGGAGCAAAAAGATGCAGAACTTGCCCCTGCTTCCAAATGAGTGAGTCCTGAAAAAATGCTACAGGATAACGGCCTGGTAGATATATGGACGTGCAGGGAATGCAAGTGAAACAGAGTCTGCAGAGCTGTGATCCTGCTGCTTGGAAGCCCTGGTGCAGGAAGAGCCTCCTCCGTTTGGCAAACCCGGGGCCTTCCCGTACACAGGGTGAGATGCGCAGGGATGCAGAACTTTGGGAATAATATTTAGAATACTAAATTTGTATTGCTTCCATAACTCATTAAAATGAGACAGTACCAATGGGCTGGAGTTGGTATGGAAACAAACATTCCTGCTGGGAGGATGAACCATCCTTACAGCCCTCATAGGTACTCTGTGAGACAAGGACTTCTGCCTGCCTCTTGGAACCGAAATTAGGGAAGTAGGCTAACCATGGCAATTACATTTGTTGCATGTACAACTTAGGTAGTTTGGGGTGTTTCATTATGAAGAAAGTGGTGAAAAATAAGCATGGGTAATGAAGGAAATGTACAGAATAGAGGGGGAGGGACTGGAGTAGTGAAAAGCTGGAGAAGACCGAGGCGAAGCCCCTCATCCCATTTCTCCTCTTGAAGGCCAAGGAAGGGGGACAGTTGCTATTCCTGGCCGTGCCCAGGTATGTTGCTAAATAGCCTGATCTTCTGGTGCTTTTGACTCCATGCAGATGACTGTAATCTGGAGTGATTTAAGGCCTGTGTCCCTGTGCCAAACTGTATCACAGAAGGTCTGTGGTATCATAGCCATTTAAAAGCCCTTTATTGGTCTGTCTGCTCCATAAAGCTTGCTCCGTGCTGAGTAAAAACATTAGGCTGGATCTGTGCATAATTTGTATCCCACCTGGGGGAAAGCGGGCTTGTCCAGTGGAGCAATCACCGCCTCAGCGGTCTGTTCGCAAGCAGATTGCTTTATTTTTGATGCTCATGATATTTCATATTCAGAATAGACGGTGTAAATTTGTTGCTGTTTTAAACCTTGCTAAATCGCCCATGATGTACATATCTAGTGCCCCAATTACTGCATGAGGATAGTGGTGTGATTTGGTCCAGGCTTTCCTTCCCTCTGTAGTGGGCTGGACTGAAAAGGTGACGGTGGTGTCGGGAGTCGGAAGAAGTTGGCATTGAATTGGGCTGGAGAGAAAATGCTAAAATAATAGGTAGGTAGGTAGGTAGGTAGGTAGGTAGATGGATGAAATGGCAAAAGGGTCTCTGCAAGCATCCCGTCTAACCCATCTCTCCGTGTCCCTGCCGTTCGCCAGAGCTGGTCATGTTGCTGGAGTGGTGGTCGGGCACGGAGTGCACCTTGTTCTCCGACCAGGCTACGGTGGATACCTTTGGGAAGGAGCACGTCATCATCATCTTGAACCACAACTTTGAGATCGACTTCCTGTGCGGCTGGACGATGACGGAGCGCTTCGGAGTGCTGGGGGTACGTGGCGCCCTGAGCTCTCCCTCCATCCGTGGGACTCCGTGTCCATGTTCAATCCATCCTCCCATTCCTGTTCAGCCCATCCAGCGCCTTAATCTTTGGGTTGCCATGCGTAACCCTGCTAGGTCTCCATCATCCTTAGCGTGATGTTTTGTGTTTGGTGTCGCTGTATGAACCAGCAAATGACACTTCTGGGTTGTCGTTTTTCTTTTCCTCCAAGAGTTCCAAAGTCCTTGCTAAACGAGAACTGTTGTACGTGCCCCTCATTGGCTGGACGTGGTACTTCCTCGAGATCGTCTTCTGCAAAAGAAAATGGGAAGAAGACAGGGACACAGTGATTGAAGGATTAAAGCGCCTCTCTGATTATCCTGAATACATGTGGGTAAGTGCCAGGTTTCTCCTGGAGCATCGACGGCGCTAAAAGCGGAGCGGGGAAGGAGGTACCTATGTGGCACCGTGGAGGAGGGAGGCTCCTCTCCCTGCTTCCGTGTCACATAGCCAGGGAAAACGTGTCTGGCCCCAGGAGGGTTGAGGGAAGGTATTTGGGAAGAATTGCTCTGCTGGCTTGGGAGGAAGAAACCTCATTGGGAAGGCTCAGGCACATGGAGATGATCCCAAGCTTGAAAACAATTTACACGTCCGACTTGTACAATGCTTGCTAGTTTAGACAAAAGTATGGCTAAACTTCTCCTGCCTTTATTCTTTTGTTTAAAAAAATATATAAATAACAGTCCGTACTTAAGTACTGTCTGTATAACTTAACTACTGTCTGCATAACCTTAAGCTATTATTTTCTGAAGTAGACTAAAAAGGCAGACAAGCCATGTGGGTGTTTTTCTGTTTTGCTTTGTATATTCTTGGAAAAGTGTGTGTGTAAGAGTGTGTTTGTGTGTGTGTGCGTGTGTGTGTGTGTATTCTGGGAGGAGGTTTGAATAAACCATAGGTTTTGAGAGGAAGTTTTTGTGTTGGTACATTCTTGGATGTATAAAATTACAGATTGCCCAGCAAGTCTCTATGCAAACAGATGGGGAGCTTGCCCTGGCTTCTGAAGCTTTGCTTTTTGTTTTGTCATTATTTGAAATTATTTGAAATCAAGGGTGAAACATCTGTGGTTCGTTATGTGCAGGGCCATTAGATTTTACTGCAATAATGCAGTAAAACGTTAAGTGGTTTTATTTGTTCATTTTAAGTGAATTTCGGTGTTTTCCTGTAGTTTGTCGAAATAAATAGTGAAACATAAGCTTTGACTAGTACGAAGTGAATGTGCCATTTGTGATGTTTCTATTATTACAAGAATATAAAGCATAATCATCTGCACAACCAATTTTAAGCTACTTACTTGCTTGAATTAATGGTTATGAGCATAATTTCATTTAATATATCATCCTGAGTAGCTAAAAGGGAAAACCCTACCAATTAAAAGTGCCAAGACTGGGGTTTTGGTGGAGAATCGGGAGTTTCTCACGGGCCAGTCGGACAGCTCATCTGCAAGGCGAGCGAGGGGAAGGCTTTAGGGAAGGCCCCGCTCCAGGGCACAACCAGTACAAGTGCTGCAAGGAAATCTTTCAGGCTGGTCTGTCTTCAAATGAGTAATTCTTGTCACATGCAGAAAGTTGTAAAGGAGGTAGGTAGTGACTGAAGGTTTTCCCCAGAAGCTTTTGACTTCTTGCTTTTTCTGGTTTGCAGTTGAGTCTGCTGGCAGCCAGAGCTCTTAGAAATTTGTATTTTTGCAAGTGCAAATTGCAAGTGCCAATTGCATTTTTGCAATCTCGCCGAGATTTTTGCAGTTTTTTGCAAGTGCAAATTTGCAAGTTCCAGTCGCATTTCTTGCCATTTTTATTTTTGCAAGTTTTTCATGGATAACCGCTTGAGCTTTTGTAGGCTTGAATTTGGGACCTGTGCTGTTAAGTTGAAATCTCATCCACCTCTGAGTGAGGTGAGCAGAGGTGTTCATGCCTGGGACGCAGCGAAGCGAGCGGGCAGCTGAGGCGTGTCTGCCGTGCGCGTCGGGCACGCGTGAGCTTTGCAGAAGCCGGCAGCGTCCTGCCCGGGTTGTTCTGTGCTCACGGGTTATCTCTGCTTTCCCCTTCTGTCCCATTCCAGTTTCTCCTGTACTGTGAAGGCACTCGCTTCACAGAGACCAAGCACCGTATCAGCATGGAGGTAGCTGAATCCAAGGGGCTGCCCAAGCTCAAGTATCATCTGCTGCCCAGAACCAAAGGTTTCACCACTGCTGTCCAGTGTCTCAGGGGAACAGGTATTTTGGCAAGCTATTACTTGTTCCTAGCATTATCTATAATGTGGTATTTGGTAGACCATGTTACGTAGCACAGTGTTTTATGCTCTGATTTCCATTATATCCATTATGATTAGTGAAAATATTTGGTGTATTAAACTTAATTTGTGCCACGTAACTTAGAGATCAGTTTTAAAAAATAATGAACTCGTCTATGCCCCTGTTGCCTGGTTCATCCAGTCTCATCGCTGGTAGCCCAGGTGCTGCTTGGATGGGCATGTCAGGTGGCTGATGCAGATGAAATAAAATTGTTTTATAAATTTCCAACACACAAAATGAGAGCTTGTTGCTGTCTAATGCGAGGACACTGGCGACATGGTTGTGAGAGATGCTGAGGTAACAGCCTTTTTCTTTTTTTCCCCCACCGCAGTTTCAGCAGTGTATGATGTAACACTAAATTTCAGAGGAAACAAGAACCCATCTTTACTAGGAATTCTTTATGGAAAGAAATACGAAGCAGATATGTGTGTAAGGTAAGCATATGATGATGGAGGTGAGCCCCAAGATGCTTATTTTGGCAAGTTGAAATGTATTCAAAATCTGGAGGGAAGTGTCCTCTGCCATAGTCCCCTTTTCCTTGTCCTGCAGTTTCTCTGCAGATCACAAAGACCCTTCTGTTTTTCCCTTTGCTTTGTTCTGGTTCTGTGCTTGGGAGCCAGTGACATCACCCAGCAAGACAGAGAGCACTGGGTAGATAGATTTCCAGGTCGGGACGACGTCCACACGGTCTTTCCAGCGTTTCCACAAATTTTGTGAAGCAAGGACACTCGTCTGCTCTTTCCTAAATCTGCTGGGAACAGAAAGCCAAGTATTCTATCCCCTTCCCAGGCCTTTGTGAGCACCTTATACGTGGTGCAAATGGCCTGTCCAACAAGAGCAGCCTTAATAAGGATAATAAGGGATGTGAAGTTCCTTACTGTGCCAGTTTCTCTCCTCTTCTCACATGGTTTGATTAGCAGCTTAGGAGTTAAATACTGCTGAAATGCAGACATTGTATGAATGTCGTGGCTCGTTCCTTGCAGTTGGGCTTTTGCCTGGCAGAACAGCTCCTAACACCTCTCTCCACACCACGGATACACATGCTCACGTGCACCGATTTTCTCTTGACTTCTGCTTGTTTGTCTCTGCGTTGACGGTGTCCCTGTGACCACAGAAGCTTGGACCTTCCCTGCTGAATTTCTTCTTCCACCTTTTATGCCTGGGGTGACAAATGGTCCCAGTTGTTCTTTCTGGTTCGCTCTTTTGACAGCTCATCATGTGTGCTTTTTTGAGGGCTTATCCCACACTTTGGCAAACAATGAGGTTGATCATGTTTTAAAAAAAAAGTAATAATTAAAAGCTGCCACCTGCCTCCTCCACCCCTGGGACGCTGGGTCCCTGTTCTGCAGCGTGTCTCGCTCACAGAGACACAGCGGAGCCCATGGGGGTGAGAGGCTCTGGGGAAACCCCTTGATCTCCTGCGGTGCCTCTGGGCAGCAGGAACAGTTTTGAGGGGAAAATCTAGCCCAGGGAAGACAACGTGCTGCAGCCTCAGGAGGGAAGGGTGGCTGTTCCAGGGCTGCTCTCCAGTGCCATCCAGCTTCCATGAGATTTTAGTCTTTCCACCAGAAAAACTCTGGAGGTGATGGGGAGAGAGAGTCACGCTCGGCAGAAGCGCTGCCGCTGAGGAGCGGGTGACTTGGGAGGGAACAACCAGGTGAGGTAGCAGAGCGGCGTGAGACGCTGGCCGCGTGCAGCCCCACGCTGAGCATCAGCGCGCGCCCCGCATCCCGCTGGGGCTGCGAGGAACGCACGGCTGCATCCGGTTAATGTCCTCTAGCTTGCTGGCCGGCAGGCAAGCTCGTCTTGGTCGTTGGCCAGCAAGAACTTCTTCACTGTGAGGCTGCCAGAGCCCTGGCACAGGCTGCCCAGGGAGGCTGTGGAGTCTCCTTCTCTGGAGATCTTCCAAACCCGCCTGGATGCCGCCCTGTGCCCCGTGCTCTGGGTGTCCCTGCGTGAGCAGGGGGTTGGACTGGATGACCTCTGAGGTCCCTTCCAACCTTAACCATTCTGTGAGTCTGTGAGGTGGTGGGAAGCAAGAGCAGCGATGTCATCTTCAGTAGTCTTGGGTTTATAAAATTCTGCTGAAGAGCAATGATGTAGCCGGGTGAAATGACTATTTGTGCCCTATTAAAGAACTAATTACTATGTTGCTCAGGTCATTTTGGCTTTAAATTGTGACTGTGGCATGAATCAACCTTCTCGAGATACTTCCTTACACTTAAAGGCTTCTCTCTCCTCTGGGGAGGATGCTGTGACATCGAGGAAATTATTACTATAGTCATTTTGTTGAAAGTTGATTGTTTCCTTAATGTGCTGAGAATCTTGGCTTAGATCAGAGAACGGAAGCGTCTGATCCCATGTAAAGCGAAGTAAGGTAAAAGGAACGTGCAGTTACCTGCACAGATAACTGTGCAGGTAACCGTTCTGCACAACAAAAACACAAAAAAAAACCACAACAAAACCAGTTCTGCACAACAAAAAATGCACAGATAACTGTGCAGGTAACAATTCTGACCCTGCACGGGGGTCAGAAGCTTAGCCTTGGCAGATGATCTAGTCTGCCCTCTGAGTCATTACCCAAATGACCAAATGCTCTTGCTGTGAGTACCCCCTTGTGGTGATCCTCGTGGAGTGACAGCCTTAGCAGAGCATCAGCAAACGCCTTCTCCTCAAGCCTTTGTGGAGCATTGTTTGTGTTAGTTGAGTGGCTCTTCCTGGTAGAGCTATTAAAGGGGAATATGTAAGGGAAAAAAATAGATTTGACTGGTTTGTGGGAAGGCAGAAATGTATTGGAAGCGTTGGGCCATTGAACCGGGCCCAATCCTTGGCCAACCATCTCTGACTTGTGTTTTTCCCAATGGTGTCTCTCCGCCTGGCTCAGAGACTCGCCGGTCGGGCTTCTCCCTGTCCCGCTGCATCCCTGCGACCAGCCTGAGCTGCGGGCTCAGCCTTCCCGAGCGGAGCCCCGCTGGGAAGGTGGCCACAGCGTCGGGATCCCTGCTGGGGAGGCCGGAGCCCTGCGCCGCTCCCGCACCGCTCCGGCCCTTCCCCGCGCGTGGGCCCAGCAAACCCTTCCCCTGCTCACTGCCTGCGGCAAGAACGCACGTCCCGACTGAATAGGGAGCAAACCTAGGGACAATGTATAGGCAAATATAGGTTAAAAAATATATAGGTAAAATATATAGCAAACCTAGGTAGCAGATAAGTTTTATCTGGGATCACTGTGGGTCCTCCCAGAGACCACAGGCTTGCTCTCACTGCTGGGATGTACAAGAGGGCCAAGGGAAAAAAAAATCCCCATTTTCCTAAAATGCGGGGTTTTTTTTCCTCCACTAACAAATTATAATTAACTTTATCCTGGATTTTGTCACATGTGTTTTTGTGTGTTTTTTTTTTTTACTTGTTTTGCTGTTTTTTTACTGATGGACTCTGAGATTGATGGGAGACGGTGCAGTTTCTTTGGGTTTGGGAATTTGAGTTTTTAGGTGGAGAATCAGGATTTGATCAAGTCTCAGGTCTTCTTCACCCTTAAGAACTTGAAAGCTTGTGCCTGGTGTTGAATAGAAGGTCTTATATTAGACCTTCTAATAGAGGTTGTAAGTCAAACACCTGAATTTTTCTTTAATCCTGTTTTCTGCCTCTCTCTAATAAACCAGGAGATTTCCTCTGGAAGATATCCCTCAAGATGAAAAGGAAGCTGCAAACTGGCTTCATAAGCTTTACCAAGAAAAGGTAAATGGCTTTGCTTTCCTCCCTTCCAGATTTTCACAAGGGCAGTGGTGCACTCTCCTCCACCGGAGTGACTGAGGAGCGGAGAATATTTTGTGAAAACTGGCAGTCCTCCCTCATATTGCTGAGAGGAGGGGCTCAAACCAGCGCTGGGGGAGCCCGGCCCTTGGGCCCCTGGCCACGGCAAGGTGCCTAGTAAGAACATCTCAAATTGCAAAGGAGCAGCATGGGATTCAGAGGGAAACCCACGCCGGGCAAGGCTAATATCCCTCTGCCATCATTTTGTATTCTTGTGTCTGCCCTGCATTTCTACAGGCTCCACTTCCCCTGCAGATGATTTCAGCCACTTGGGAAGAATGATGACAGTTTGTGAAGGGCAGCTGAGCCACAGCTGTCCTCATTCCTTTCTGCTTTCCTTCTCCTGCCATCGCTTTCCTTCTGCCTCCTGGCAGTATCTGTGCAGTGTGTGACACGGTACAGACAGTCCCCGAGATCTGCTGCCAGAGACTGGTGTAGCCCGTGGTCGGAGTGTCTTCCAAGCGCTCGGAGCTTTTCCTCAATTCTTTTTTGTTTTATTTCCTCGAGATGATTAATTTATTGGTGACAGTTTTAAGCTCTATGCGGAGAGGAAGGAAGACTGGACTTAAGGTCGCCCAGCCCTAACGCAGGCTTGAGTGGGGAACCTTAAATGTGTATCTTGATGGAGGCTTTTTCTGCTGTTGGCTATATCTGCATTCAGCTCTGGTGTCAGATGGTGCTAGGGGAGAGGTTACTTATGTAGGCAGGTATTTTATGTATGGATCTTATGGTGCTAGCAGTTTGTTTTAACTGGAATCTTCAAAATAAAGGGAGTATCGTCAAAAGGATGTGTCTTTGGCAGGCAGTGTCCTGAGCTTTTTAGCCCCTGGTAAGGAAAGCTAAAAGAAAAGTAACTTAGGTGGGGGGAAAAACATGAAAAAGAGCCTTACTTGAGCCATCCTGTATAAGTTTCAGAAGCTTCCCAGGACAAACTGGTTGCCAGTACCTTTGCTTCACGTTAAAACGCTGCCTGGGCTGTTTATTTTGGGCTTTACTCAGCATTTTTGGCTGTACGCGCAGCAGTTTTCTGCTGTGCTTTCCTGAATCGTGCTGACCTTTCCAAAAATGAAAACAGGAAGGAAAAACATGCAGCCAAGGGGCAGGCAGAGTCTGAACTGCTCTCTGGCCAGCAACTGCCCCCACTTCCTAAGAAATTCATAGCAAAGGGGAAGGCATTTGGTAGTGGGGAGACGGGTGTTGTTTCAGCTGCTGACCGTGGCCAGGATCCCCTTGGAAGGGCTGCTACGCATCCGGTGGCCTTGGCAGGAGGTGGAAGTGCCCAGGTTAGTGTCAGCAGATGACAACGGCTGCCGAGTTCTCTGGGGAAGTGTTCACCTCGGAGAGGCACCTTGCTGCTCTCCTGGGCTTCGCTGGCCTTGGCTTGCTCTGTGGAAACGTTAGGAACATGTTTTTGTCCGTCTTCTCTTCCATGTAGGATGCTTTGCAAGAGATGTATAATCAAGAAGGGGTTTTCCCTGGCCAGCAATTTAAACCTCCTAGAAGACCGTGGACTCTCCTAAACTTTCTCTTCTGGGCCACAGTTCTCCTGTCTCCTCTCTTCACCTTTGGCTTTGGAGTTTTTGCAAGTGGATCACCTCTTCTTATCCTTGCATTCCTGGGATTTGTTGGAGCAGGTAAGAAAAGCTGAGGAGAAGATGCTAAGCCCAGAGGGACAAGGTGGGATCCATTATCTTTGATAAGCTGAGAGGATCAATTAATGTGAATGGGATTTGCAGAAAAGATACTGGGATAGAAATTGAGGGTTTGCTCCCTAGACTTTTTGTCTTGTGTAGCAGCATTCTGAGTGTCTGGAAAACTTTGATCCGGACAGACTCACCTTTATATCTTAGATGTAGCTTATATCTTTAGGAGTGAATGCTCTTGCAGCCCAATATTATGACACAAGGAGGAGAAGGTGCTCTTACTGCATATCCTGTCAATGATTAGAAAAAAAAAAAGAAACGGATGGGGAGGGAGAGCAAATAAAACCCATTGCCGTTTCCAGGCTTTGCAGTACAGTTAGTAGGAGCATTAGTGATATTTTTAAATCTAGATTGTCATCCTCTTTTGGTAACAACTGACCTGTGTGTGATCAGTGTGTGGCCCGTAGACACTGCTGCTTCTTAGGTTTAGGGTAACTCGTGTTTGTTCTGCTTGTGTGTTTGACTGCAACTTCCTGAATCTTTTAATGGCTTTAACGTGCCTCCCATTTTTCTGTTGTATTTTAAAGCTTCCTTCGGAGTTCGTAGACTGATAGGAGTAACTGAAATAGAAAAAGGCTCCAGCTATGGCAACCAAGAATTCAAGAAAAAGGAGTAACTGACAGCTGCAGCTCAGCACATGTAACCAGACTGTGGTATCCAATTAACTTCAGTTAAAAAAACAAACAACAAAAAACACTTAGAAACTATCTTTTTCTTAATAACTGATGACTAATATTAATGAATAAAACTTGAGCCAAGAATGAAGAAGTTGGAGGCATCAACTGAAGCGAAAGCATCAACTTTCTGCCTGTTTCAGGATTACGGTAGTCAAACTATGGCATCAAATCTGGAGAAAAAAGAAACTAATTTTTCTTGCTGTGGGCTCGTGGGGGTGGGAGGGGTAAAAGGGGGGACTGGACATGGCCATGTGCATCTTCAGCTGACTGAACACATAGGTTTCCTGCAAGAGCTCTACGCTTGCTTTTACAACAGGAGCCACTGAATGTTTCCTCTTGCTAAAGCCAACGTAATGTTTGTTGATTTCCAACTTTTTTTTTTTTTTTTAATCAATGCTCCAGGGAAAAAAACAAAAGAAACAACCCTTAAATTCACTGACAGATACTCGTTGTTAGTGTTGTTTTGTCAGGCTGCCTTGTCCTGGCCGCAGGTGAACTCCCATTTGTAGGCTTCCCTGACATTTTCTTACTTTCAGGCAACATCTTTCAGCTCCTGTAACGCCAGGGAACGGATAGCGGAGCTCGGATGGGAGCAGCTCCTCGCCGACGGGCACGTTCTGCAGAGCAGATTCACTAGCATTAAAATGGTGTAAATTTCCCATTGTATCTCCTGCCAGCTGCTCAAGGCTCAGGTTAAACTCAGCATACCACATTGGTCTCGAGTGTGGTTTGCCCTGCTCTCCGTCATGCGTGTATGTAACTCTGAATCTGTTTGGGCTTACTTGGGTTTCTGAATGAATGGCGACCATGGGACTTGGAGTTGTACAAAGAAGGAAGTTTATTCACTTGTCCTGACGTTTCCTCCTTTTATTTCTGCTCATGTCTGTCCTCACCAAAGTCCCATTCAAGCCATCTCTCTCTGTCAACTGGGAGACAGCAGCAGACACTTGCACAGTAGTTTGTTTTCAAGAAGCCGTCTTTGACTCAACGTAACTCTAAAAGGAGAGGTTGGGAGCAGTCAGACTTCCAATCCTGACACCTCTTGAGCTTTTAAGGAGAGTTTTGCCATCGATGCAGGCGGGGATGGGGCCTTACCTTGTGTGCTCCACCAACAGGCTGTGCCGCACTCTGTACCTGGTTGTGCTTTAGTTGTTAATGTGAAGCATAATGCAAGGTGAGCCATTCTGTTAAGCACTCGAGTAAGTTTGGGATCTCTTCAGGGATTTTAAATAACATTAGTTTTGCCTGTTGATTTTCAATTTTTCTTTTTTTCATTGAAAGTTAGAGGTCAGAATTGTGATGTACCTTTGTACGTTTTTTTTTCTTCTCTCCAAACGCACATTTTGAGATGTTGTAGATTGCTGCTGTAAACGTAGCTGGGGAATTACTTGCAGACAGGTGGAGACTAGTGACGTGGTCAGGTCTGAAGGCCAAATTCTGCATTTAGCCACACACAAAAGCTGCTGGAAGGGGTTGCAGCTGCACAGCTGAGTGCAGAAGCTGCCCCACAAGTTTTAGCCCAGCTGCCATGAGGCTGCTTATCTCAGTTCCATAGAGAACAGATCTTATCAAGGCACTGATCATTATTTTCATCTTTGCTCTAGTAACCAAGATAAGAGAGTAATAATTTACCTTCTTTTCATATTTACTCTTAAACTGCTGGAATGTAGCCTCTTCTCCCACAGGTCGCCCTCTGCTTTTAAACATTAGGAGAGTAATTTCATAACTTAGAAAAATATTTTACTGGGGGTCATTAATCACTGTTCTGTCATGCACTTGGTTTTTCTTGGGTGTCTTTTCACAAGAGCACTTGAAGGCTTTGCCCTATGTTGTGTGTCCTCTCTTAGACCCACACCAGCATTTGGGCAGCAGCCCGCGGCAGTGTTAGCACCTTGTGCTTTCCACTCTTTTTTGTTTTGATCAGAGGACCAAAACCAGTGTTTTCTTTTTTTCTCCTCCTCTTTTATTACTTAATTCATTAGTGGGTTTAATTTCCGGTTGCTAGAGAGCTGTTACAAACGCTGTAGTCCTGCTTTCTGAAGGTGATAATGAGTACATGGAAATTGTACTGGTTTAGCAAAGCGAAGCTTGCCAAGCAAGCTGACCGTAGCCTATGTTTTACACTGACCTTTTCTGCAGTATATTGAGGGGCCCAACAAGAACTTCACAAAATAAGACCCTTCGCATTAAGAAGAGGGGAGATGTTTAAGGAGGAAGGAAATTAGTAGCCTTTCTCTTTATGGGATTTTTTTCTCCTCTCAGTGCATGCAACTCCCTCGTAGGAATCACGGGATTAGTGCATGTGCATCAAGGGGAGAACAGTCAACATTTCGTATTTTCTTATCATAACTTATTAGTCATGCATTGTTTTGGAAAATGTAATAAAATATCATTTGCTTAAATTTTGCTCTTCTAAGCAGACATATCAGTAAGCATTTTGAAAACGGAAATAATTCAGCAGTGCACAAAATAGTATAAAAACAGCACAAATCTCTTCGTTTTGAGTTTCATCTCATCAAATAGGATTTTTATACATATATAAATATATATACACACATACACAGAGTATGTATAAATTAACGTGATGGGGAAATAGCTGAAGTTAATGTAACTAATGAAGACTAGCAGGTGGCTTAGATGGGGAAAGCGAGCATAGCTTTTATATCTTACACTATTTTCTTCTGTTTAATAGGTCCTAGCTTGTATATTTGACTACCAAGCCCTCTGAGAGCAATAATAAACACAAATATATCATGCTTTCTGTCTTTGCTCTTCAACCACGCTGTCTGTCAGTTTAATCAGACCCAGTGCTGTAGGCGCATCCCCACCTTTCAAACCCTTCATTTCCTGCTTGGCTGTTTAGGTACCGCGCTAAATACCACGTTCTTGCCCATGGGTTTGGAAGGTGTTGTTCCCGGAGCGCCGCACGGGCTCGGAAGCCGCGTGGTTTTGCAGACTGGCTGTGGAGAGAGGCTGTGGGGCTCGGCCTTGCCGTGAGCAGCAGCGGGGCTGCTCTCAAAGCAGGCTGCGCCGTTCCGAGGCCGCAGAGGTGCTGGCGCCCGCATCGCCCCTGTCCAGAGGGGCAGACTCCGTAGGAATTGCCGCTCTCTGGTGCTCGCTGAGGGCTGAACGTGCCTTGGGCACAGAGCGCGTGGGAGATGACCCCACTTTAAGCTTTAACTTACCTCAAAGGGCTCTACACCGAACTGCTGACCAGTGATCGTGGCTGCTACCTTGTCCCGGTGTTCCCAGGCGCGGTGAGGCCTGTCTGCCCCTCATGCCTGCGTCCTTGCCTGCCTTTCCCGCGCGTTGCTCCGCGGGGCTTCGCAGCCCGGCCGCGCGAAGCCGCCCCGCGGCGCCGGAGCGCCGGCGCTCTGCCTCGCGGCACCGGGGCAGGAGCCTGCTCGGTGTGACGCGGCGCCGTGGGGCGCGAGGCTCCCGGTGCGGCAGTGTGTTCCCAACTGAAGTGTGACGTGGTCCCAGGTTTGGGCCTCTCGGAGAGGCAGTTGCTGGGCAGGCCCGCGGCCAAGGTGCTCAGATGCAGCCCTAGCGCCTTTCACTCCCTTGCTGCCGCCCAGCGCAGCGGGAAGTGGCGACATCCACATTTCAGGTCCCCTCTGAAAACTGGATGCAGGCCTGGGGCCCCCAGCGCCTCCGGGACGGCCCGGCAGGGAGGCGGCTCCGTGCGGTCCGTGGCAGCGGACGTTGCGCGCCCTGCTCTGTGCCTGTTCCCAAGGGCCGTCCCGTGGTCATGTTGAACGTGTGCTTGGCTCCCTGCCTCCCTTCCTTCCTGCCCCCCTTCCTTCTGAAGTCCGGTGCCCAAAAGGGGCTGCCCCAGAGCCGCTGGTGCTGTGTGGGGCGGCCGTGTGAGGCAGGTAACGGGCCGAGCGGCGCCTCGTACAGCGGGAGGAGGAACCCGCGGCCGCCTTCGTGCCCTGAGACACGGCGGGAAATGCCAGGAGCTGCCCGGACGAGTTCAGGGCAGGCAAGTTCTGCTCCCCAGTCCAAACGTGACCTTCTCTGGCCGCTCACCCGGCATCGGAGGCTGCGCCAGGGCTCGCACCTGGTCCTCACGGACCTGTCTCCTCGCTGCGCATGGTGGCTTCTACTGTGCTCTGCTCCCTCGTCGTTAACCTGGCAAATAGTTTGTCTGACTTTTCTCATCAATCTCTCCACCAGCATCCTCACAGATTTATTTATTCTTTTTTAGCTGCTATCGTTTTGAAGGAGAAGTCAGTGTTACGGGGGCTGTGTTGTGTTTGCTACTCACCAGAAACTAGCATGAAAATACCCCGCCCCTCTACGAATCAGGAATTGTCATCCGTAATCTAAACATCACATTTCTTTTATCGTTAGCCTATGTAAGTTTATAGAACACTACCTGTATTTTTTAAAAGAACACTATATAGTTGCAAGCTACTCTTTGGTTTTGAGAAACTTGGGCGAAGTAGTTTGTTCACCTGAACTTTGGGGAGGCCTTGGGTGAGGCTGAGGGCGGGTGTGTGGCTGAGAAGCTTCACAACCTCCGCTAGCAGCTGAAGCATTAATAAATAAGTAAATAAATGACTTAGTAGGTCTAACGTGTGAGGGGAGGAAGGATGGGCAGCACAGGTTAGGAGTGAAGCTCTGCTTTCCAAGGCTTGAACCGCTTTACACAGACCTCACTTCCCACCTGCCTCCGTGCGCCCGGGCGGGCCCTGCCTGCCGGGCCCCCCTGCTCCCGCTGCGCCCGAGCCGCGAGTGGCGACGTGTGGGGGGCGCCCGGCGCCTTCCCCCATCCCACCCGTCACCAGCAAGCACCGCAGCTTTCCTGGAAGCCTCCGGCCGGGAGCACCGGCCGCCGCGGCCCGGGCGGCTGGCGGGACCGGCACGCGCCGCGTTCCCAGCGGTAGCCAAATCCAACGGGGAATAAAACTCTCTACAGGGTACGCATTGACTGTGCATGTGTATATATTTTTTGTACGTTTTTACGGTTATTTCCTACGCTTGGTTTTATGATGTTCGGAAAAAAAAAATAAATGCGTCTGAATCTGGATAAAACCTATTACTGAAAAAAACCCAAACCACTGTCACCTAGCGTAGTTTCTAAACTAAGAAGAACTGTGCCCCCAATGAATACGCAGATTTACAGTGCTATGCAAATATTATTTTGTAAGTTGTCTCTTAAATTTTGCTTAAGTAGTTCATGCTGTTTTTACTGGGCTTTGAGAAAATGATTAATGCGAAAGACTCATCTTGTAAAATAAACTAGCTTTGGCTGTGTGAGAGTACTGTATGGTAGAATCTCATTCATGCTTTCAGTTGCTTATTTTAACTGTTTGTAAGTGGATTTGTAC